TATACATAGGGTGATTAAAGTATATGACTTTCTTGTTTAAGCGTGTACAGCATGTTTTTATTTCGACCTGTTGCTTTTGTTCTATCTTTTAAACCAATAGTTTTTCATCGCTACCCCGCTGGCTCAACTTGGCATGTCGTACCTCCCAGATGCGGTTGCCTGAAACAGGTCTTATCCAAACCAGCTGAACGCGGTGGCATGTGACCTAAGACAATTGCCATTTCCAACAGAGACCCAACAAGGCGACTTATTCGCCGGGTTACGCACCGCAGCAAGCAAGCTCCTTCCACATCTTCTCACTTTGAATTGGCCGCAGATATAACTATTTCTGTGTTATTGTCTATTATTAAACTCGGCAGGCGACTTCCTTCACTAAGGACAGCCTTTCCTTTAATCGCCGTTTGATTCTACTGAGTGTCGTGAGGGTCTGCTGTCCCAGCATTTTATCCTAGGTTTCGCAGAGGTACCTAATCTGAAGTCGCAGGCCAAAGACGATACGCTGAGACCGCGTTGCGAATATGAAACAACTCATCTGTCAGTCACTCGATCAATTAATCTGATGACTATTGTTGATGTCTATCGCAGCTTGACTCCGAAGCCGTCACTTCGGTCCTCGTGACGGGAAGGGCTACATGAAGAAAAATTGTCTCGAAGTGAATGAGGCTTGGTGAGTGATTGATGACAATAAAATGGATTTAGGACACGGTCGACTTTTATGCCTACGAAAATATTCGAGTTGAATATAGAAGAGGAAGGCTGGCATATGATTTTTTTTGTTGACTCTATCTGGTTCTTGACGAAATGAATCGAGATTTTCTCTGCATTCATTATGTGATCCGAAAATGCGCGGATCACACTTGGCTAAGGGTCAGAGAACTGTAGTATAGGCCCAATTACTTTATACTGTTGTTACACTTTAAGCATAACAGTGCGGTGGGAAGGATTAAGCAGTAACCGCATCTTAACAAAGTTACTACATATGTCAGATATAAATGTATGGGCATTGCTTAAGTGTCCGATCAGCGTAGGTCATCGCGTTGCTTTTAGCTGAGTACTAGCATTTCCTTTTTGTTTTTTGTTCCCATTACAGCTGATTCCGTGTGCCAGCTTCATCGTATTTTACTTCCGCAGAACATCTACGTTTAACAAAGTGTAGTTTATCAAGTCGTTCCAGGGAAGGCAAAAAAAAATTGAGAAGCTGGCTATTATTTGTTAAAATATAACACGGAAGCCTTTACGTTCCTATGCAAAGGCTTAGCGTTTAAATGACAGACATAAATCATTCGTAATCAAGCTTGCCGTACCAATGAAACGTTCCTTTGTATATTACATTCGTCTGCTAGCGTCCAATCCATAATTATGCATAACATATAAACGTTCCAATATTACAGTTCAATTCTAAATTATTCATGTGTACTCCTACTTCAAAACTTTGCCGGTACAACAAAACACCGAATCCAATCAACGTTTACTACACACCGCCTCGTATTCGTTACCGAGGAATATGCTTAATTTCTGTCCAACCGTCTATATCCTAGCAGATTTGTCCCGGCAGGTATAGCATTATTTCAGTCGTAGCTAACTCTAATATTAGTAATTATGTTTGTTGTCCTAGGTATCAGCATGTACATAGAAATCGTCCGCAGCTGGAAGGACGTAATGCATTCTGACGGTAACGACCCGTCGCTCACTAGGCGATGCCTATGAAGAGTTAGAGGTTGAGGTGAACCGCCTCCCTAGGTTGACGGAGAGCCAATGCTTAAAGAACTAATAACATATGCATCTATTAGACGAGCGCTAGTTTTATAAGTTACAATGCCGTCGTTGCTTGGGGCAGGATTCGTCTCCACTGGGCAGTAAACCTGTTACAATTTATGAAATCTTTTGTAAAGCGAAAATCATGGAGCGTTCTAGTACGTTTAGATAGATATTATTTGCAGCTTGTTATTACTTGTGAATACAATTGTTGGTTATAGTAAATTTCCTAGAATTAATTGGCTAGCACAAAAACATACGAAGCATATAATCTTTATAAATACATAGTGGTGCCAGAGAAACAGGTTTGTACTTTGTCTGGCATTGGCCAACGCTGGCTTCCACTTAAGTTTATAGTTAGAACAAGCGCTGCCTGAAATGTGGGTCCCATTTTCTCTAAAATATAATTTTACTTAGTGCTAACACTAGGTCGATTTTTAGTCACTTCGTCTAAAGCTGAAGGTCTCAAAGTGCATTGGCTAAGCATTTCGTCGTACGTTATTTCAACATCGTATATAACCACCCTAATCTATCTTTTCTAGCTCAATAACAGTGAAAATGTCATGGGTCGCGTGAATAGGTGTTGCACTCCGTGAGGTGCGCTCCAAGTAGAAAGCGCACCCGCGCCATTACATTGCATGCAGTCGACGACAACGATAGCCTGTGTTTATACCTAAAATACCCAGCTTGATCCTAAGCATCATAGCAGAGACTCATTCTGTCGTCGATGGGTGAGTCTAAGTTCAAACTTTGTTTTCTATAATATCTCGTTTTGCTAGGAGACAAGAGAACTATGTGACGCTGTGAAACCCGAAAGTCTATTTAAATCAATAGTACAAATGATCGTTCCTTCTCTCCTTTTATTTACAGTATCGTGCCAGTTTGATTTCTGGGTTTTATGCCTAGCTGTGGTAAAATAAGCGTTCGTTGCACTTGTTATTGCTGACCATATGCGTTCGGGCGCTGGAACTACGGCTGCGCTTAGCAGCTACATTGCTTTAAGTCAAATGCGGCTGCCCACTTATCGGAACAGATCATAATTTGCGTTGCTCTATTTGAAGATAAAACAAGAAAAAGGTTATTTTTGATAGGACCACATATAAATAAACGCCCGCCTGCTGTATGGTCGAGCCAATGGAAAACGCGTGTTGTAAATTTACTATTAGTTATTATTCCATTCCACCGCTCTCGCCGGAAATGCTAATGTACCACACAGGCATATCAAACATGTACCTGCCTATGGAAATACGTCGCCACGAGAAACTCATCGATGTTATGTACTCAATACCCCACGTCCCGGTCTCCTCTTTGTGCAAAATAATAGGCTAAAGCTTTGACTACGAGTTTCCTACGTGCATGAATGCCCACAGGCTTTGAGTTTGAACAGGTTTGCTGATGCCGCGGCTGTGTAACAACCGAAGTAAGGCTCACCGTCTTCTGCCCCATTTGCCGTCTACGTCGCCATGATGACAACATTCTTATTAGTCGTGGCCGGCTTTTTTTTTTCGTTTCATCATTTGAACCAGTCGGGAACTTGCGGGACATGCAGCTTTCATCCATGTAAGTCTTATTCTAAAAGATGTTCTTTCCTAGTCCTATTCAGGACGACCTTTGCACAGGACTGTGCCGTTAATACCCTTAGTGTATTGCTAGATGCGCTGTTGCTTACCATTGGTTTTACGAGCTTGTACACAGATTTGTTCATACCCACGCGTAAAATATGTACATGTACATATGTTTGCGAATACATATGTAGCCTTTTCCATTTCAGGTAAGCTAACTGTGTTAGATACAGCGACCGGGAACAGCGAGTTCCAGCTTTTTGATGGGAGCTCACAAATCAACTTCGAGACATTCTCTCTATAGTTCGCCATTCATCGCGAACAGGGACTGAACTGGCTTGCTCGGAGTGGGTAGGCTCAGGGTCAGTAAAATCCAGTCGACCGACATATACACATGAAACCTTACTCCATCGTGCTTCGTCCTGCTTCAACATCAGCATCAGCTGTCCATGTTGTTACTGTTATTTAGACGCCAAGACTCGCTCTAAACACGCGGCAGTGCACTCGATCAGACATAGTTGCACCGGGGTGGGCCGCCGTACTACATATATAACAAGTAACTTACACCATATGTGCTATCACTCATGTACATGAAATCTACCAGTGAGTTTGTATGAACGTAAATATTTAATCATTGTATTTTCACTGCGCCAATTCGACTGGCAGAGTAAGCCGTTTTCCTATAACGTTATCGTCCGAAAATTGAATCAGATTAAAACTCAATTTTTGCCCTTAGAAGAGTCCGTAATTTCTCGTCACTTTGCTACGGGCAACATTGCTCCAATGAAAGGCTTTAACCGTTTTTGGTAAGCGTCTGCACAATCTTAGGCCACTTGAAAAGCTTTATACAACAGAACACGTATAATTCAATAAACGAAATTTCTGTTTTAAAGATATACTTTCCTTGAAATAAATTCATAAACCCAACTCAAGATGAGACATTCCCGTTCGGTTTCAATGTTAGAAACAAACGCCTTTTGTCCAAAACGATCTGTGTGCAGCATAAGGATGTTCTTAAAAATCAATCGAATTCGAAATTTATATAAATGAAAGAATCATAGAGAAGGGATTCTAATACGTTTTTTCACAAGGGTTTCTTTGACGTTAACTTAAGCCTACCTAGAATTTCGCGTGCCATTAGTTACATAAATGAATTTTGCCTCATCTAACTATAAGCCATATGATATATTAGGAAGCATGAGTTATCTTTAATCACCCGCTTAATACGTCCACATGCTTATTACTCTCTTGAATCATCTATATAATGAATGTGATGGCTGCATCCATTGACGAAACGCTGATGTTATAGCAATCGCTAATTCAATCGTGTGACTATGCCGTTCATTGTTTTTGCTCCCCGTCTCCGCTGAGCCTGTGTCTGTCAATTTCTCATGTCCTCTTTGCTACTCAGACGTCGGCCTACTGTCAGCTTCTAGTTCTCGTCCGTCGACTATGAATCAGCAACCGAACTAATAGATATTTGCGGTACGTACCCATCACATCTTTTAAAACGTACCCATACATACCTCGATTTTGCTAGCTTCGTCTTTCTACTTGTACTTTTCTGCTAATGTCGTGAAGTTGATGTGGGTAAGGATCAATAGCTTGCTGTTTATCAGCTACAGCTTGTGTGGGTGAACTAATATATCATTAGTTCAATCATTAGCGATAGGAACGCCATACAGAAATAATACAGGCTTGAGGCGTTCCACGAAAGCTAGCCATGTGAACCTCGAGGAAAAAGTAGTGACATAGAAACTTCTATTGCGCTGGGGCTCTCGTAGAGTCTGGCGGAAAAAGCAATAAACGTAAGTTTCGACTTTGTGTACAGAAATCGACGGTTGAAGAAGAAAAGCTGACAGGCTAGTTGCTCCTGGGTAGCAGGATTCCTCTCATTTCTGCTGGATTTAGCTGTGAATCTTTGCCGGAACGAGACGACCCGGTGAAATGGTCCTAACGGGTCGCCGGTGAGTCAGTCGTTTGCTGTTCCACAGTCAATCGCCTTTTAATAGATCTGTCATGCATCTCACGTATCTCGTATTGACATTTACCAAGTGGCGTTACCGGTCGCACTACATGTGAAAATAACGATGACAGCACCTCTCTCTGGCCAAATTTCGACGCAATGCCAACGTAAATATCGACAAATACCTCCTATTTTGGTACTGGAGAGCTTTTTCATACATTCTGTGATGACAGATTCCGCGGCCTCGGCTTCTCTCCTAGGCTACAGATTATTACAGGCAGATAAAACGTTAAACAACGCCAGTTTACCCCACACACACAAAGTGCAACACGCATAAGCCAGATCATTTGAAGAAGCCGTAAAGTTGCATTAAGTCTAGCAAGGCTTCGTGTCAGGCTCCAGTATGGCCAATACTCTACAGTGCCGAAACCGAGAAGGACCCAAAGTCGCATCCGATTGGAGCCGAAAACAACCGGAACCAGCGTCCCTCATCGAGCGGGGTCCGGACGAAGCTGTTCCTACCTCTTTCGCCCGCGTTCGTAGCCCTCTATTGAATTCTAATTGTTAAGCTGATTAAAGTGGATTAGCTGCAGGAAAACCAACAAAGGAAGCGCTACTGAGGAAGAAATTCGCAATGAGCGGAACCCAGCCGCACTGAGAAGCTCGGCAGAGATGAGCCGAGTTAAGGAGAAGACGACCAGCGTGGAAGAGGGTACAAATTAGGTGTCTGAGAGGAACAATTATGATGACGCGAAGAGGCCACAGCCCCACCTCTTACCAGTTTTTGGCCGCCTCTTGGCCGCATGAGACAAATCGAATGCGCAGTGAGTGCATTAACTAGTCCGCCTTGGATACGGGGAGTTATTGTTGGACGGGCGACTATCAGTGCAACGCAGATCGGTACGAGCGGTCAGTTGTTTTAAGGAAGAATACGAATGGATTCGTGAGAGGGTCTATGTATGAGGGACACTGTTTGTTATGCATAAAACTATGTACATGGAAATATTCGCATCCGTACCGAGGCGTTTGGTGGAGGACCGCCTGGAGTGAGGCACTTTGAAGCGCGGATACTTTCAACAGTTGTGTGCCAACCAGACATCAGACCATTATCGGCCGTGGAACGCTTCGCTTGTCAAACCCAGTGTCGTACCGGATCTCGAGACGTTACCGCAGCTTCTGGCCCTCGATCGCGAGGTAATGAGCTAGAAAAAGTAGAGGGCAAGGCTATACAAAGAGGCTGATTTACCACTGGAAAGAGGAACTATGTTGAAAATATAGGTGTATCGGTTGGGTTGCAGGTTCAGTAAAATTTTGCGAAGCAATTTATAACGGTGGCAGAAAAGAGTTTGCACAGTAAAGAAAGGCTTTTCATTTTAGAGGTTAATTTCGGTGTTATGGAGGACTTGTTCTAGCACAGCTCGTTGAAATCGAATGCACTAATGACTGGTAAACAAACAGACTACAGAGGTAACGCATCTACAATGAACCTAGGTAAGGTTGATTATTATACCGGTTTTTAATTTAGGGATCTAATAATTGAGAATCTCGTCAGGATACTCTCGAGTACAACTAGTATGGCGGTTAATGCAGTTCTAATCAGTAAACGATATTTTCCAACTACCTTTAACCAGTAGTGACTAGCTAATGCAGTTCGTCCCGAATCAGCATACGCCGACGGTGTTAGATCTTTCATCGCTTTTCGACAAATAAACGAAGTTTTAGAACTCAGCGCATTGATAGCCCTTGGCAAAGGAACGAGTTCGCGTCCCAAATTTCAACCAACGCCAAAACTATCGTAGACAGCACTGTTTGTTCCAACTTACTGCAGGCCTAAAGAGTACACCCAATTGACTTTCCTTTGATCTTCAGCTTGAATCAAGCTGCAACGATGACAGTAGACGCACTTAAGAAACTTAAGTATAACCTTCTCGATCGGAGGTAGATAGATTTTACTTCAATGTAAGTACTAATCTTGTGGGAAAACATTGCCTAGATCTGTTCATTAGGATCCAGGTCAAACTGAACGATCTGAGTCGCTGAACATCGTTCAGTGTGGCTTGAAAAATGCGAGCACCTAGAAACCAATCCTCAGTAAATTTCCATGTTTTGTGTACATAATAGTATCAAACAAGGATAACGCAGCTTTGGTTATTCATCAAAACGTCTAAAGGCAGACTCGCACTTGTTTTAAGCCCGATGCCAACATATTCAAACACCTGAGCTTAGCATCGCTGCCCCTATGGCAGGAAATGCTTTCCAAGCGCGTGTGCAATATCGACGTAACACTTTATGCACAGGTCACCAATAATTCCCAGTTCCTTCGCGCGAATATTTAAGCTAACAAAATGTTCAGAAAATTCGTTATCAACTGAGTTCGCTTGCAAAAACGCCTAAGAAGGACTTGCGATTTGGTTTGCATTCTCCCACGCTAACATTATTCGCAACTCGCAGTCCTCGACTCAGTTATCATGGGCGCGAGTGGCGTATCCTGCAGAGATCTGCTTCGAGTAACCGAAGTAATCGTCATACTGCTAGGATATTTTCCAGTTAACGAATAAGTGAACTTGCTTCAGTTCATACTCAAGTTCCTTTATTATATCGTAAAGCGTATTCGAGGATATCTAACCGATCACGTTCCGATCTGAGTTTCACCGACGTGTACTGCCCCAATCTCGCTCTGTGATTCCCGTGTCTCGTCCAGCTCGAGACCACCGTATCACTCCAGCGGCAGGGTCAGCGTCTGTGCTCTTTTAGTGAAAGACCTCGAAGTCAGGGTTCAACGAAATACTTTAAGCATACATCTGCCTTATGTTTGAGGTGTTTCCACGCAATGATGCTCTGAAGTGATGCCTATACACAGATGGATGGAGCTTCTCAATTAACCCGTGATTAAACCACCAATTGAAACCTTCATGTTAGCTCAGGCATAAAGCGTGCCTATAAATTTCCCAGAATATACATATATATATATACACAAGTTCGTATCTACTTTGTGGGCTCTTTCCCTTAACATTTTTACCCTTATATCATGCGAATCGGAAGTTTTTGCAAATTAGCCCAGCTATAGAATCTTTAACTTTGCTAGGTTTACCCAGGTTTTTATTATGCTCTTGTAATCGTCTTACAGATCACTCGAACGGTATTCGCGCTATACTGTACTTACCATATATTAGGCTATATTCTTCTATGTTACGCATCGGTACGCCGAAACAGACGGTACGCAATTGCTAAAAATTGTACGCCACAATCCACCAGTTACGCATGTTCATCACACAGGTTTTCCTAGTGCAGATTTATATAACACTGGAAGTTTATAAAAATCAGATTCTACAGAAAATTTTTGCTTACGCTATGATATCCATTCCTATTGCACAGAGTTAAAATGGAGTAAATCACCGATACCGTGCCCCTTCCGCTAGTAGCACAGTAAAAAGTTGCAGAAAGAACAAAGTCTTTCAACTTCATACCATATTGTCAACAACTACTGGACTTACATGGGCTTAAAGGTATTAGAAATTTAAAGTCAGCAGCTGCGGTTGAAGAGTTAAAATGAGAATATTTTTTTAAATAAAAGCTTACTTTTAAAAATAAAGTATTTTTAAAAATTTTAATTTTTAACTTTTAGTAGTAAATTAGTAGTAAAAATGTTTGAAAATAAAGTCAAACGGCGGCATTTTTGATAAGGGACAAAACGCCGACACCTTACTTACATCAGTTTGTATGTCATTATTAATATCTATGTTTATTTATAGAATATAATTTTTTTAATTAAAAAGTATGTTTGTTAACTCAAAGTATAGTTGATATTTAAGGTAGCCATGAATTATGTTACTCTATAAAATTTTGAATAGCTTTATAAAGAACGATTTAAAA